CTTGTCAGTGGTGCCCAGAGACAGGACAAGGGGCAATAGGCACCAACTGGAACCTAGGAGGTTCCACCTGAGCAGGAGGAGAAACTTCTTTGGTGTGAGGGTGGCCGAGCCTGGAGCAGGCTGCCCAGAGAGGCTGTGGAGTCTCCTGCTCTGGAGAGATTCCAAACCTGTTTGGATGTGACCCTGGGCACCCTGCTGGAGCAGGGGGGTTGAAGGAGATGATCTCCAGAGGTCCCTTCCAACCCCACCATGCTGGGACTCTGTGATCTTTAAAATATTGGGATTTTTTTCTTTCTTTTTACACATTCAAGTTTCAACTGAGTCATTTCTTGCTCCAGAACCAAAGTTCCTGTGTATCCAGACCTTTCTCTCCATGGTACCAAGCGCTGTGTACACAGGTTCTTCTGCCAGCCCCTCTCCCTGCCCTGCTCTTCCATTGTCTCCACAGGGACATTTTCAGGTGGATGGAACTGCTGAAGGAATCCAGATCATGCCCTCTCCTTGGATAGGGTGTTTGCTCTGTGCTTCACGTAAATCGGCCAGACAAAATGTTGCGCAAAAATACACGCATGTACACACAGATCAGCATTTTTTGACAGTTTTGGGAAACTGAAAGGGGAAGAAATGGGAGTTTCTGAAGTGAAAATGTTGTTCTGGGGTTAGAACGTGCTTGCTGAGGTTTCAGCATTGGCCTTTGGGTTCAGTTTTTTTCAAGTCTGTGATTGTCTCTTATTTCCAGCCCATTTTCAGGCTGAATATTTTCCCCTTGATTACAACCCTTGTTTAACTAGCTCAGTGCTGCATTGGGTGCACGACCCTCAAGCCCTTTCTTACAAGGCCCTCACCCTGCTTTGAATTCTTCCCAATGTAGCTGCTTGGGTTATAAACAGGTATTCTGGCCAAACCATAGGGAAGAAGCTGGTTTACTTGCTGGAAACTATTTTTCTTGCTTCTTCATCATAGGTGTCTTTATTTGAAGCACATTAACAAACAAACTCTAATCTCATTTCTGTTGTCTTAAGCTCTGTTTTCTTTTTCCTCAACTTTTTTTTCTTCTACTCTGTATTTATTCTTTACCTCCTAAGAACTCTCAGGGCTTTTTTCATTTTTTTAAGATGCCTTTCCCTGTAAAGTCTAAACATATTTCAAGGGTCCCTCATTCCAAGGAGGAGCCTGAAGGGCTGGAGC